AATCTGCAGGCAGCCCAACAGGCTGTGCACCTCCTCAGAGCTCGGCTGCTCAGGGTAAGTGTCTCTCTGCCGTCCTCCCCTCACTTGGGGAGGGAGGGGCTCAGTGCATCTAGTGGGTTCCTAGGGCTTCCCATAAACACGTCCAGGATGGAATGTTTCAACTAGAAATTGTTACACCACTCCTCCAAAACCTGTTGAAACCAGTGGAACTTTTGATAGCTGCCGCCTATGGAAGATGGTTGGCTCATCCAATTGCTGCCTTTGGAAGGACTTAATGCAGTATACCGGGGACCCAGAGCAATTCCCTCTATAGTGAATTTCTGTGAAAAAGAGCAAGCCCCACCCCTCTCCAGTCTCTAGCCTCCTGTCTTGCTACACAGCTGTGTTTTCCTTTTTTTACAGACTCCTTCCCCTATTGTGATGCCATCTGTACCATGCTGTGATACAATCAAGGGGCCTCACCACAGCCAAGAGAGTGCTAGCCTCATGCACCTTCAAAGCTATAGACTAAACATACCTCTTCACTTTATAAAATAATCCAGTCTCAGGTATTTTTTTATAGCAACTAAAAATGGATGAAATAGACAGATGAAGAAGGTAGGGGCACAAAGAGAAGTGCTCACAGGTGCCCATCCTTGAGGACAAACCAAAAGGTCTTGGGGGATGGTTTAGCCCCATCATCTCCACCAGCAGGAACAGTAAGGGCAATGCTGGCTAGTTCAGCAATCTCATGTAAAATGTTCTTATCTTAGGCTGAGTTCCTGGGAAAGGAATCTGAGACAAGTTTATAGGATTTTCTGAGTGGGGAAGGGATGCAAGGGGAGATAGAAAATATTTTCAAATATTTTGTTACATTTATGATTGATTGATTGATTGATTATGCACGTGTCATGGTGTGCATGTAGAGGTCAGAGGACAACTTGCTCAAATCATTCTCTCCTTCTACCATGTGAGTCTTAGGGATGGCACTCAGGTTGTCAGGCTTGGCAGCAAGCACCTTAACCTGCTGAGCCATCTCACCAGCCCCAAAGGAGGATTTTGTCTTGTAAAGTCTAGCATCCCACCATCTTTGGGGTGTAAGGGAGCTATGGAATCTGATTCTCACCAGCCTTTGTGTCCATGACTTCAAGCTGCCGGGTGGGAGTGTGGAAGGGGGATTATATTGCCTACTGAGGCCCAGCCTTTGGATGGGGGTGACTGGAGAAGGGAGCACTCGGCACGCCCATCTGGGGATGAAAGCACCTGCTGGGGAAAGGGATGAAGACAGAACAGCAACAGCATCTAATGTATGAAAAAGGGGTACCAACAGCATCTTTTGTGAACACCAAACTGAACCATTAAGACAACCTACCCAGTTGTCAGGTTTTAAAAATGGACACATAATAACTGTATATATTTATGGGGTGGTGTGTGTGTGTGTGTGTGTGTGTGTGTGTGTGTGTGTGTGTTATTGATCAGATCAAGATAACTGATAGGTCCATCACTTCAGATGTTCATTTGTGTTAGGAACATTCAAAACCCTCTTCCATAGTTTTTTGTTTGTTTTTTGGTTTTTGTGTTTTTGGTTGGTTAGTTTTGGGGACTGGGTCTCCCTGTATCCCTAGCTAGTCTGTTGCTATGTAGACCAGGCTAGTCTTGGTCTCACAGAGATCCACCTGCCTCTATCTCCCCAGTGCTGGGATTAAAAGCATGTACCATCACACCCAGCCCCCCTTAGCTATTTTGAAATATTCAGTTTAAGCTGGATGAGGTAAGTCAGGAGGCTCTCAAGCTCAGGGTCAGCCTGGACTTCATAGTGAGACATGGTCTCAAAGGAAAAAAGAAATAGTTTGTCAATCATAGCTGCCCTACTGTGCTGTGGAATACTGGAAGTTATTCTTCCTATTCTCTTGTACCCTATACCCATTAACCATCCTCTGTCTGTTCCCTCCCTTCCATGCTTCACAGCCTCAGTTCTCTATTCTGTGGTGAGTTTCTTTCCTTTCACATAACAGTGGGAACATTCAGTATTTGTCCTTCTGTTCTTGCTGTTTCCGTTCATATGTCCTCCAGTTCCATCCACGTTGCTTCAAATAACAAAATAGAATCCTTGGGACTAGAAAGTTGGCTCAGCGATTAAGAGCACTGACTGCTTTTGCAGAGGACCTGGGTTTGATTCCCTGCATCCATATGGTGGCTAACAACCATCTGTAACTTCAGTTCCAGAGGAATTTGACACCCTCTTCTGACCTCCATAGGCACTGCATGGCATGGGTGCACTACATGTAGGCAATACACTCAAACACATAAACAAAAATAATAAAATATTTAAAAGATATAATTCTTTTTCTAAATTTTATCTGTCTGCGTGCCTATCTTTCTATTTATTTTGACAAGGTCTCCCTAGTCCCAGCCTGCCTGGAACTCACTATGTAGACCAGGCTGGCCTTGATCTCACAGAGATCCGTCTGCCTCTGCCTTCTGAGGGCAGGGATTAAAGGCATGTGCTACCACACCTGGCTAGTTATTTATTTTTAATTTATGTGTACAAGTGGTTTGCCTGCATGTATGTAAGTGTACCATATCATGCAATATCAATGGAAGCCAGAAGAGGGTGTCAGAAGAGGGATCAGAAGAGGTTGCCAACTGCCATGTGGGCATTGGGAACCAACCCCAGATCCTCTACAAGAGCAAAAAGTGCTCTTAGCCACTGAGCTATCTCTCCAGCTCCCAGAATCCTTTGTTATGATTAATATTCCATTGTATATGCATACCAGATTTCCTTTACCTGTTCATCCATCATTGAACAAGATTCCATGCCTTGGCTATTGTACACAGTGCTGCAATGAGTCTGGGAATGCAGATGTCTCTCTAACATACAAATGTCAGCTCTTTGGATATATACCCAGTAATGGGATGGAAGGATCACATGGTAGTTCTATTTTCAATTTTTTTAGTGACCTTTACACTGTACTCCATAATGACTGTGCCAATTTGCCTTTCCACCAATATTATATGGAAGTTTTTCTTTCACCACATCCTCATTGTCATTAGTTAACTTTCTCTTTCAGATAATAACCATTCTAACTAGAGTTATATGGTATCTCGCTGTGGTTTGCTTTGCATTTCCCTGGTGATCAGTCATACTAAGCAGTTCCCCCCTCTTTCTGCTTCTCCTCTTCCTGGTTTTCCTTCTTCCTCCTCCTTTTCCTCCTCCTCCTCCTCTTCCTGCTCCTCCTCTTCTTTGACAGTCTCACTCTGTAGTCCAGGCTGGCTTGGAACTCACAGCAATCCTGCCTCCTTAACTCCCCAGGTGCCAGGTTTGCAGGCATTCACCGCCTTGCCTGGTTACACATTAAGCAATTTCCATTTGCCACTGACTATTTGCATATCCTCTTCTGAGTGGGTTTAGGCCATTTGCCTATCTTTAGTGATTGTTTTTTGTTTTTACTATTTAGTTGTTTAAGTTCCTTATATATTCTGGAAATTAATCTCTTGTTGGATTAAGCTTGTTTTTCTTTTAGGACAGGGGTCTCATGTAGCTTTAAGTGACTTCGAACTTGCTGTGTAGCTGAGAATGACTTTGAATTCCTGATCCTCCTGCCTCCACCTCCCACTTGCTGGGATAGCCAATGTTTTTTGTTGTTGTTGTTTTGTTTCTTTAATTTTTATTATTTTTATTTTATGTGTATGTGGGTATTGCCTGCATGTAGGTAAGTGCACCTGTGTCCTGCGGTGCCCACAGAGGACAGAAGAAGCTTGTCGGATCCCCTGGGACTGGAGTTACAGACTGTTGTTAGCTGCCATGTGGGTGCTGGGATTTGAACCCGGGTCTTTTGCAAGAACAACCAGTGTCCTTAACCACTGAGCCATCTCTCCAGCCCTTGGATAACCAATGTTTGCCATTACACTGGGTGAATTAGGTATTTTCAAAAATCGTGTTATTAAGATGGGCTGCATGCCTGGAATCTCAGAACTTGGGGGTTGAAGACAAGAAGATTGCTGCAAGTCCAAGACCAACCTGGTCTACATAGCGAAGTCCAGGCTTCCTGGGATGACATAGCAAGACTCAGCTTGGAAAATATAACAAAGGCTCATTTTCTTATATAATATTTTATACATATAATAAAGTATCTATTCTAATATATAGATGCTGGGGATACAGCCAAGACCAAGACAAGTCTAACCTATGCTTTCACAGTGCACTTTATACAGGGAGAAACGGGACATATATGATGAAAGCCTGACATTTTTCATCTGTCAGATGGTTACAAGTGTTCCAGGAAAAAAATAGTATAGGAAAGTAATAAAGGAACAAAGTGAGTGGCAGAGGTGATTTTAAATAGTCTGTTCATAAAAATCTTCATCGATAGGGCTGGGGTGATGGCTCAGTCAGTAAAATGCTTGCCATGTGAGCATGAGGACCTGAGTTCGGATCCCCAGCACCTGGGCATGGTAGCGTGCATCTGTAATCTCAGCACTCAGGAGGCAGAGACAAGTGGATATCTGCCTGGGGTTTGCTGGCCGGCTATTCTCACTGACAGGAGCTCCAGGTTCAGAGAGAGAGAGAGAGACCCTGTCTCAAAAAAAAAAAAAAAAGAGCAAGAGAGGAAGACTCTAGACATCAATCTCTGGCACACACATCACATGTGCATACACTTTTTAATTTTTATTTTACATGTATGAGTATTTTACCTCCATGTATGGAAGTGCACCCTTGTGCAGTCCTCTCAGAGGCCAGAAGAGGGTGGCAGATTCCTCTGGAACTGGAGTTTCAGACAGTTGTGAGCCGACATGTGGGTGCTGGGAACCAAACCAGGTCCTCTACAAGAGCAGCCAGTGCTCTTAACTGTTGAGCCATCTCTCCAGCCCCACACAATTTTTTAAAATTTTTATTGAATTTTTGGATATTTCAAACAGAAAACCTTTATAGCCCCTCCCCCTTTTGTCCCTTCCCATAGCCCCCACCCCAGGTTCATACCTTCTGTCATTTGACACACAATTTTTTTTTGAAACAGTAGGATTGTGCCCTAGGTGTGAAACACCTTTGGCCCCTGAGCCAGGCATCTAGCTAGGATAAGCAAAGAATTACCATCTGCTCTGCCTCTGACTGATTTTAAGACACCACCACCAATGAGGTGTCTCTTTGTCCATTGCCAGGGGTGACACACAACCCACAAAAGTTAATTTTTTTCTTTAACTGAAAAAAATTAAAATGAACAAACAAGGAAAACACCAAATTTTTTTTTAATTTTTACAAAAACTTTATTGAGAATTTCATATGTGCATATAAGGCATTTTGATCAAATTCATGCCCACTCCATCCCTTCCAACATTCCCCCTCTGAAGAGGTAATCCTAAAATTTTTTTTTTCGTCTTTTCTTTTTTTTTTGAGACAGGATCTCCCTGTAGCCCCAGCTGTCCTGGAACTCACTATGTAGACCAGGCTGGCCTTGAACTCAGAGATCTGCCTGCCTCTGCCTCCCGTGTGCTGGGATTAAAGGCGTGTGCCACCACACCCAGCCTAACCCTAAAATCTTTTAAGGATTAGATACAAGCTCCCAAATATTTTTTACATTTTTGGCCTTGGAACAGAGTATGTTGCTAACAGGGCCGAGGACATTTTGACTTTTAGCCAAGAAACTGGCTACATTTCTTTGGGATCTTTTAAACCCTAACTGCCTAGCCAATTCCTACCTCCTATTCTTATCACACCATCCTCTGAAGGAGTTACCAAATTGTCAATAGGGAATAGGGATGCCGATCGCTCTGGCTTCTTCCATACCGAACAGGGACACAGGGTAAGGCAATTGGAGTACCCCTTCAGTGGGTCTAACTAAAAGACTCCCAAATTGCATAACTCTTGTCTCTAAGGGAAGAAGAAAGTCCTTGAATCATGAATGGGAGATGTGAAGGAGAAGTAAAGGCAAGAGTAATTAGCATTAAAAATTCTAGACAGGGAACTAGAAAAAAGTCAGAACAGGGCACTTTTCAAATGTTCATATGAGAGTCCATTGGCGTTTCTTGACAAGGGCTTCCGAAAGCATCCCTCTATTGGGTTGTTCCTCCTCATTTTTCTTTTGTCTTCCAGGGCTGGACTAGTTGACTGAAAAGAGTGGCTGGATACTCAGGTGGGGGTC